CGGTGCTGGGGTCACCCTGCGCTGGTGGAAGGGGTCCCTGCCCATGGCAGGGGGGTGGAACTGGGTGGTCTGTAAGGTCCTCTCCAACCCAAACCGTACTATGATTCTATAATAATCAAATCTGGTCTTTAAAACGTTAACCAGAAGCCCTGTAAAAGATTATTAATTTTTCTGCCAAACCTACTATTGCGCAACTGGTTCTGTGTGCTAGCGCAAGACGAAGCGTGCGGTTTCGCCCAAGCAGGAGGTGCTTGTTATTGTCTGAGGAACGGCCGCGGGTTACGCGCTGCTGCAGTCCGACCCTGTTTGGCAGCTCTGAGCTGGGCTGCGTTTGAACGGCTGCACGACGAAGTGGCAGCTGACAGCTCCTGAGTATGCAGTACAACTTTTTGCACTGGAATGCTGCCTTGCAGCAGCCCTTGGTTCACAGACCACATTCTGTTCCTTATTTCTCAGCTGCCTCTTTCCTCAGCCCTCCTGCTGCCCGCTGTTGCCAAATGCAGGAAGGGGTGTGGTGGGGTGTAGGAGCCTCAATGGTTGGTCTGGGGTTGAAGGGCCAGCTCGGTCAGCTCTGAGCAGCTGAACTCCTCGCTGAAGAAACTTGTTTTCCTGGGAGCTGCGTGGCAGAGTAACCTCTGCCCCTGGTGATCTGATGAGAAATCACCTCCTGGCCGGGACCCAAGGAAAACACAGGATTAACTTTGCCCTATGCATGTGCTGGCTCGTAGCTGTTATGAGTCGGTGAGCGTGCTCGATCCCGTCAGTCTGGAGGGAGCTGTGCCCGCAGACATGGGAGCCAAGCTGCTGTGGCTCTTCCTCGCCTCTGCCCTTGTCGCTTACTACATCTACAGCCCCATGCCCGAGGACTTCGATGAGCCCTGGAAAGTGATGCTCATCTCAGCTTCCTTCAGGACCACCGGGCACCTGGTGAGCTTGGGGCTGGGCTGCGTGCGGGGCTGGCCCGGGGGAGAGCTGCGGAGCAGAGGGCGTTCTCGGTGTCTCTATGGCTAACAGAGAAATGGCAATATCTACATGTCACATGCACGCATGTTAGGTATATTACACTAAGTGAAGGACAGTAGTATCTGAAACCAAGCATTAAACTGACTGTAACTATGACTATAAAGAAACTTAAAAAAGATTTAATTGTGCAATCTTGGAAAAAGGACCCTCAGAGTAACTGGGAATGTGTTATGTAATGTGAATATGGGCAGATAAGTGCAAGCAAGCTGATCTTGCTTTATGGTCCTTTGGAGTCCTGCTCCTTGAATTGCTTCTCTTTCTCAGAACCTGTATGTTGAGCTTCCAAGGAAGTATTGTGTTGGATGTCAGAGAAAGCAAAATGAGAGCACTTCTTAAAAACTGTTAATTTTTGTGGTTTCATAGGAATCTGACAGAATGATCCTAACAACTATACAAAGTTATGATAGGGGCGATACTGCTAGAGCGTGTAGAAATTAAGCTATACATATAAAATTTTAATAGCACTGTAATCTTTCCTACCAAGAAATGGTATCTAGTGAAGCAGCACAAAACCAGGTGTCACAGTCTGGAGAGGCAATGCTTTGATACCCTGGCTGCAGTTACGTGGCAATATTTCCTGTCAGTGTGGTCCTCATGTCCTTCCACACTGCTGAGGCGAGCAGCCCTGACGATCGGCAGCGACATGCTCCAGCACGGTGCACGGGGATGTTCCCAAACAGAGAAGGACTTGTGGGTGATGTGATGGTTGACAGCTGGCTGGACATGAGCCAGCAGTGTGCCCAGGTGGCCGAGAAGGCCAATGGCATCCTGGCTTGGATCAGGAATGGTGTGGCCAGCAGGAGCAGGGAGGGGATCGTGCCCCTGTACTTGGCCCTGGTGAGGCTGCACCTCGAGTGCTGTGTTCAGCTTTGGGCCCCTCACTCCAAGAAGGACATGGAGGGGCTGGAGCGTGTCCAGAGCAGGGCAGCGAGGCTGGGGAGGGGTCTGGAGAACAAGTCTGCTGAGGAGCGGCTGAGGGAGCTGGGGCTGTTCAGTCTGGAGAAGAGGAGGCTGAGGGGGAACCTTCTCAGTCTCTACAACTGCCTGAAAGGAGGGTGCAGTGAGGGGGGGTTGGTCTCTTCTCCCAAGTAACTAATGATAGGATGAGAAGCAACAGCCTCAAGTTGCGTCAGGGGAGGTTTAGATTGGGTATTAAGAAAAATTTCTTTGAAAAGTTTGACAAGGACTGGGACAGGCTGCCCAGGGCAGTGACAGAGTCACCATCCATAGAGGGGTTTAAAAGACGTGTAGACATGGTGCTTAAGGACATGGTTTAGTGGTGGACCTGGCAGGGTTATGTTTATGGTTGAACTCGATGATCTTAAAGGTCTTTTCCAACCTAAATGATTCTATGATTCTACTGTATGATTCCTTTATATTTTTTATAAGTATTAATCTCTGGCTTCTGCTTCGTTTGTTGTCTTACGCAGCCATTTCAAACATATGCAAATAATCTGTGAGGCTGCACACCATGCACAGATAATAGTGCTGTAGTTCCCACCTCTGAAGCACATTAAATGGGGAGCCTGTAATTCCTATCAGTGGTGACTGCAGCAGTGTGACCGGAATCTTAAAACAAGGTGAAAGGTGAAGGTTTGGGGGGAGGAGAGGAGCTGAATGTTGCAAACCTCTTTCTGGGTGGCTACAAACATTTTGAGACTGTTTTTTTTTCCACAATAAAATATACTGAGAGTCTAAGGAGCCAGAAGAGAGGCTGCTAGTTTTGCTCGAGGGATGCTGCTGAAAGGCTTGCCTGCTGCAGGTGCAAGCACCCAGGCTGTTTGCTCTAGAGGGCACGAGTCTGGCATTTTGCCTTTTCTGTTTTCTCTAATACGCGGTGGGTACGATTTTCAGAAGTCCATGGGAGCCGCCTCTTCTATGATTTTTCTGGTGGAGGCAAGGGTGCATGTTTTCTTGGTCTGTCTCCTAAACATCATGCTTCTGGGTGGTATCTAAAAGCCACTGTTGATCTCCAGAGCCATCCCTGTGTCAGACAACCTTTGCTTGCAGCAGAGACCTCTTCTGGGGTCTGTACAGCCTGCAGAAGGAGGGGATGACTTTTTGTGCGTTTACTGATGGACTCTTTGCTGCTTCCGTGTCTGTTTTGACCTTGTGGTTTGAGGTCCGAGTGGTGGGAGATGAGAAAGAAACTGTAGTCTGCACTTTTGATGTGCTGCCTTGCTTCTTCCTCTCTCAGCTCTCCTCTTGGAGGTGGCCTGTGAGGGGAGCGCGTGCACAGCTAACACGTCTCCCCAGGAACGCCTCGGGTCTGCTCGCGCGGTCAGACCTCCAGCTTTCAGCACAGCAGTACTAAAGGCTCAGCCAGCAGAAGTGTTTTCTTTCTGTGTTGGAGGACTGGTTGTGTTCACTTCAAAATGGGGCTGGGGTCTGTCTTGGCTGTTGCATTGGCTGCCTGCTAAGCCCAAGTCTGTTATCAGCAGCAGTGGCGCGGACAAGCGTGTTTTGTAACTGTGCTCTGATCTCTCGCAGAACCGTAATCCTAAGGGACTCTGACGAAGATAGCCTCCCTGGAGCGGCACCGGTGGAAATTAGATTTGAGATGGCTCTAAAGTGTCCTAAGTACATTCTGAACAGTCATCAGATTGTTGAGCAACGATTTATAATCACTTAAGAGCAGGTCTAAATTTGCAGAGGAGACCCTATTTTAGTCCTTCTGACTCCCTGACATTGGTTTGAAAAAAGGGAAAAATACTGGCACTGTCAGACACTCCTGGCTGGGAGGGTCTTCCTTCAAGCTCCCAAAAACGTGCCAAGAAAGCCTGAAATAGCAAATCTATCCTCCTTCGTCTTTGCTTTAATAGGTCCTGGGGAGCTCTCCAGCTTCTGTGCCAGATTGTGTGAAACTTCCTTGGATTTTGGGTTTCCTGGCCTGGAGAAGCAGCTGGTTGGAACAAACCCCTTGCTAGTCCCAGGCTGCTTTCAGAGCCTCTGCCGGGCACGGCAGTGGGTGCCAAGGGGCTCCCGAGGCCGGTCGGGAGCTGGTGGCCAGGCTTTGCCGTGGGTCAGCCCGCGGGCGATGGCTGCCGCTCCTGGCTGTGCAGTGTGCCGAGGAGTCTGCTCGTGCCATCTCATCATGGAAGGGAGCCGGGGAATGTCTCCCTCCGTGTGTTGATGGTGTAACATCTCAAGCCTGCGTGCTGTCTAGCTGGGGAACAGCCTCCAGGTAGAAGAATAAATCAGCCAGTGTCTGCGGTGCTCAAGCACAACATTCTTCGAGTGTTTTCAGGGAATCACAGCATGGCAGGGGTTGGCAGGGCCCTCTGTGGGTCACCCAGCCCAACCCCCTGCCCAAGCAGGGT